TGACTTCAGACCTCATAAAATAAATTCTACAACAACTACGGCCACACAGGTGCATAGCCTGTAGAGACGTGTAAATCCCTACAACTACCCAAAGAGACTGCCCTTTCGAAATCAGTGTTCATGGCGAGACACAGCCCAAACTACACAGGGTTCCTTCGACTACGTGGACTGCAGAGGTATTTGATTTGGATACATCGGAGTACTCTTCATGGCCACACCAGCCCCTTTTCACCTCCCAGAGAAATTGATGGCCGCTACAGAAGTGTCCTGGAAGAGGCTCAGATGAAAAGGGTCTATAATGAGAATCAGAAGCCATGTGGCTCCGTCCCTCATGGCTAGAGCCCCTAGCGCACGCAATAGCGTGCGTAGCCGCCTGGTGTTCATAAAAATTGCAGATTTATGATGGGATCAGCTTGCTCAACCCGCACACTCCGCGGATCTAGCTTTATCGGATTAACCCATATTTCGGTCCATTAGTTTGGCAGATATACTTTGGCGAAATTCCGAAGAAGAGTGGAAATGGGTTGATAACTGGATTGCCTCAAAAGATGGAGACTTTTACAGACACAGAATCCATAAGCTGCCAGAAAGTGACAAGAATTAGTAGCTTACAATGACAAGCATCGGTTGGCGTGCAGTTTGTTTTGTTTTTGTAGTAAATATGTTTTTGCACGCAAAAATTGATGGGACTGATGCACAAACCTAATATTTAGTTGTTGTAGTTGCAAGGATTTCTTCTAATCATTCGAGTGTTGCGCCTTCGATTCCCACTTTTATTATAACAATCGCGTTACATTAAGAGGTCTACGCTTTCAAAAAGGTAATATCAACACGATTCCCATTACGATTTTGCAGCGACTTACTCACTCGGGTATATTTTTGGCAATCATTTTTTCCTCATTTTATGGCAACGCAGGTTTATCGAGGTTTAGAAGGCTATCAAAACCGAGTTCTATAACCCTAAAAAGTCAACGCAGGGAACGGCAGGACCCTGTGTATGACTGGGAATAAATTTGGCATCCAATCACGTGTTCACCTGTACTCAACGTCGACTTCGTCCAATAAAACTTGCTGGTTTTCTTTGTTTTCAGACGCTTTTAGAGGACCATCTGTCATTATATCCTCTGCCTCTCTCAGAACACTCTGAAAACCCTTCGAATTACCCTTCTATATAGAGGCACCTACTTACTTTTTAGCATATATGGACCTACATCGACGCTCCTCATGGGACTTTGCAGCTCGGAATCCTCCTTGTTTTTAAGCTGCAAATCGCCGTTTTCATACACCACCACCACATTGTCGTCTCCGTGCATGTCCTGGGAACGAGTTGTCAATTACAGTAATAACGCTAGTTTCGAACAGCGCTCCAACATATGAGCAATACTGAGTACTGTCAATTTCTATAACCGGTAAAAGTCGACGCAGAGAAAAATTTAGAAGCGCACCACTGTCTGGTTGTAAGGTCATCTCCACTGAGTACGAAATAAAGGATTTAACTGTGAGAAATTCATGTTGTAGTTAAATATGCAGCATGCCAAAAGCGATCAAGAAACGGCTATTAGAGGGGCCTCATGAAAGCTGAGTTGGCAACGTTGATGATGGATTTCGCGTGTGCCTTATCTTCATGTTTATTCTTAAAAGTGATATACCAACCCCACCTGGTTTTCCAGCTGCGTCGCTGTGTCCAGAAGACTCTGGCTTTCTGATGAGGCCCCCTCTTCATCATAGTTATTCATCTTACCTGAAGCATAAGGTATGCAAGCGAGTAACTGAAACAAAGATCGACACTACAGCAACATAGCAAAGTACTTAAGCTCCCAGAAATCATCTTGTGACATCAACTTTAAAATGAAGCATCACAGAGGTATACTCAAAAAGCGATCAAAGCAGGTTATGTCGCAGGCAATGAACCTGCGCTCGCTTTGTTCGAAAACTGTTCCCGCAGCAGCACAATTAGCACAAGTAGAACTTAATTTTCGCACTTTTTGAAACTAATTTCCATAAAGTGACACCTTACGTTCCAGAAGTGTCATATATGACTAAAAATTTGACCTGCCAACGGCGTCACTCCGTATGCGGTAACTCAAAGTGATTACTTCCTCATCGGACACACTCTAAAACCGTGATCAGGCTTACCAACAGTTCAGCCACGGGGGAGTAGCAACTAGCATTAGACCAGCATCGACCAATCACTTACCTATAACTACTGCTCGCCTATACTCACTTTACGGTTCATTCTGAATCTATCGACAAATGTGGAAATGTCTCCTTGGTGAAAATGTAGCTGGACGAGTCCACAGCACTATGCTCTGAGTTTGAAACGCCATTTGCTAGAGCCATCATAGAAAGTAAAGGCACTCTATTTGCTGATCGGCAATGGTATTGATAAACGATCGGAAGTGTTGTTGCCGTGCAACTATTCATTTGAAACTAATTAATTGAAGATCAACGTGCTCGTTTTTTTTTAATAAAGATTCTCAAATACGAGCGAGGGATGGTTTAAGGTTTCAGTTGAAACCATCGTACTGACAAAAATTTATGAATGCAAATGTCGTTCAATCATCTAAGTGAAAAAAGAATAAAAGCATAGTTGGAAAGGTAGGCTCTTTCTTCTACACTAGTAGTTAGAGCATAAGAGATGCATTTAGACTCCAGCAACTAGTCGTACTGGTGCGTGATCCTTTGGTGTCCAGTATTGTCAAAGTGGCCAAGAACCAGACGGTCGATAGGTCGGTGGGCCCTTTTAGAGGAGTAGCGGTAAGATAGGAAGGGGTGCTACCTATTTACACACGGGTAGCGGTCTGCACTTGCGTATTATTAACAACTACCGTACCCTTACGCTTACTTTTATTCAGTCTAAGAGTGGTTGTTATGTTGTTTTCATGTATTTTAGGACTTGTGATAGTCGATCAGCTCAACTCTTCAATTTAATTCGACCCAACTGTTTTGAAGAAAGTCCTGGATACCTATATCTGCAAGCATGTGGCCCTGGTCGGCAACTATCAGCGCTGTTTTGCCCTGCAACAGTAAAGCTAACACTAAAGCCGTAAATTAGGGTTATAAAATTTCAGTCCTTTTGGTTTTGGTTGATCTTGGTCACTTCATTTTTATCGCCTCTCAACTGCGCGTCTATAAAGAGACTTTTAGTTTAAATCACTTCGCACCTCCGCCAACTGCTTGATGTTGACCGGTCGTTGGCTGTTGCCAAGTCTGGAAGTCTCAGCTGAACTAATATTGTTTGTATGAATTAGAAATTTCGTTGCATTTAGAAATAGAGAAGAAGAAAAGGAAGAGGAGAAACATATCTAAGCCAGCCACTATCAANACTTCGCACCTCCGCCAACTGCTTGATGTTGACCGGTCGTTGGCTGTTGCCAAGTCTGGAAGTCTCAGCTGAACTAATATTGTTTGTATGAATTAGAAATTTCGTTGCATTTAGAAATAGAGAAGAAGAAAAGGAAGAGGAGAAACATATCTAAGCCAGCCACTATCAAAGTCAAAATTGCTGGCCGGACTTCGTAACCAATACATAATACTACACATACAAGTTATTTCATGCCATAACTTATACACTATTATGAGTTTGCTCGTTGGCTATAAAAAAATCGGCACATTCTTCGGCCTTCAACTCACGCACTTTACCGAGTAGCCATCGAGTGGAAATTAGTCAGGGGGAGGGGGCATTTTAAAGGCATTAGTATAACCATAAGGCAGCCATATAAGGCAGCGTTCATCTGAGCTGTTATGCGGTCTAAGCCAGTGGATGCAGTTTTTATCTAAGTATTAGGAGGGTAAGATAACAGGAGTAGGTGAGATGATTATTTCATGCGAAAAGCTTAAATCTTGCCCAACCCGATGACCCTTCCTTCCTACGGTTTCCTACTAGTAATAGGTAACTCTGTATTAATTCCTTGATATGCTAACACGCGTAGTCCTATTCACCACCATTCCGCACTGCTTCAAATCATAAAAGTGAAGCTAGAATACAATATCCAGTGACAATTCTGACTCGCAGCACATTTTTCACCTGCTATAACCTTAATTTACGTCTCTAGAGCTAGCTTTATGGCTGCGGAGCAAAGCAGCGCTATTAGTTCAAGGACCACATGCTTGCAGTTATGGGTAACTAGAACTTTCTTCAAAACAGTTAGGTCGAATTAAATTGAAGAGTACAGCTGATCGACTATCACAAGTCCTCAAACACATGAAAACAGCATAACAACCAGTCCTCAAAACTGAATAAAAGTAAGCGTAGGGTTACTGTAGCTGCTATTAATACGCAAGTGCAGACTGCTACCCGTGTGTAAATAGGTAGCACCATAGGAAGGGCCTACGGACTACTTGAACTCGGTTCCTTTAAATTTGCCAAATGCGTCATTTTTCTGCCCTCGTCTGGCGCACTCCCGTTTGATGTGGTCTTTGCGTGTTGTGCTCGCCTGTCCAATGAGGCCCCCACCACCACCGCCGTAGGCTTCACCCGGGGTGTTTTTCTCTGGGCTCTAGCCTCTTGGCGTCAGAGATGCAGAGAAAGTTCAAGTAGTCACGTAACCCCATAGGAAGGCATCAAAGGGTATCTACGTTGCGCGCGCGGGCGCGTCACGGTTCTAGCATTGGAGCGCGCCGAAGAATAACTTCACTTGCTGATTTCATAGCCCGGCCCGCGAGCGCGCTATTATGAATAGGTGAGAAGCTGGTTCGGACATTACTCACATTCAGATGTACGAGGCGTAAGAGGGGTTTTCGTCGTGGTCGAAATCCCCAAGGAGTATTGAGAGTCTTGTCAGCCAATTCCTTTTCATTCAAGGTATTCTATCGTAAGATGTGTAGGTGTTGGTACTATGATTTATAACTGAATCACTTCTAGATTGCCATTGAAAAACTACAGCTTGTCAACTACTAATCAGGACAGATTTGAAAGTGATCATTTCCGGTTAGGCAGCATCTTGCAAAGAACTTGAAAGTCGTTCATGGTCAATTCTGGCACATATTACACTCATTAGAAAGAAATTCAAACGATATTCCGCTAATACCGATTACAATATGACAAATTAAGCAAAATATTTATTAAACGAACATTCACATGCTAGATAATCAGTAGAGAGGACGTTAATAGTTACGGACGATGCTCTGAAAAAAAGGTATAACGAATTTATAACTGGTTATAGAGCAACAATCTCTAGTGATATGTTGAAAATAACTGGCCTCGACTACATAGTCACGGTTGTACTGCCTGCTGACATCTTGGAAGCGAGTATCACCTGGAAAATTATCATTTTCTCGTCGGAGTAGCTCCTAGTATTGAAAGATCTTTAATGGTTGAACCCACTATCATTACACAGCTTACTTAAGAGGTTCCCGGATCGAAAACCGTCCTTCTTCGATAACAACTTTCAAGGTCACGATTCGGACGCGATTAGACTCACCTGATGGGAGAACTTCTACTCTGCGGCTCCAATGCCTTGCTTCTCCTGGACCATCGCGAAGCACCGTATCCAGTTCCCCATGAAATTAAGAAATTAGTAATTTCGTTTCGCTTGTAACAATCAACTCTGGTCAAGCTCAGCTGATGCCATTCTCCCTTTTCACCTACCCCACCTCATCAGGTATGCCCCAAATGATGGCAGAAGTCTACGAGTTGGTCAATGTTTAAAAATATTTTTAGCTAGCATGAAAGGTCAGTTCTGGCTGAGGATCATTTGCATCTGAATGCTGCAGTCGAAGCTGGACTAATCCATCGATTCTTGTTCTTAGATCAGACGATGTCATCAGGGCAGGGCGGTGAACCTGAAGTTGACAAACATTAGCGTGTACCTTCCATGATCGCTGATTCCTTTCGTCCAGGAGATATCCACGATCATCGCGCCATTTCCAGTTGTCCTCAGTTTTGCGTTCGACGACTCCTGAAACAGCGATGGTTAAAACTAGGTCTCTGGGCCGAAATGGAATTAGGGAGGTTACTGATGGAAAATGAATCACCTAACCGCGTTCTCTGTCGACCTGTGGATTTCAACGGTCAATGCAGTCATGTCTTTTAGAAAAGGAAGGATTGAAATGATGTTGTAACTTTGCGTAGTTGAAAAAGCATTTGTCTGATGGGGCGTATTGTAGAAACATTCTGAGGAACTCCTGTTCTATTCAAGAGCTATGGCTTGATTGAAGCTTCCGTTCTTAGGCAAGAAGGAGATGTCAGGTGTAGGCTCCGTCCAGTGGGGTTGGAGTTTGCGCGAGAATCATTAGTGTTGACCTAGGGACCTGAGATTTTCAAATTTGGTGAGGGGTGCAGGCGGCAGGACGGGAGGACTGATGACGAGTGGCAGGATTGAAATTTGGAGAGGGGCAAAGGGGAAAGTGGTTACGTAGCAGCGTTAATTTGATACACAACATGGCTCCCTTCACACTTGTTGCCTTCAGATGTGGCGGAGAAACACTGTATCGGTGGGAATCCCGCTGCGGGGATGTTGGCCGATGCACCGATATGCTACATCAATCTATTTTGTAATAGACCGCACAATCGCAGTTATGCTTCCTCTAGTCGTACAGTGTTCCAACTTCAAGGAAATTGTGGTTACGGTGGTGCCGAAGCTGTAAACGTAACGACCGATATTAGCAACCCATCCGCACCAGGGTAGTTTCGTACTACTGAATGCAGGGACGCTGCTAACAACTCATTTCTTCCGCAAAGAAAAGGGGCTGATGATCGGTTGCAGTGAGGCATTTGAATAACATTAGAAGGAGGACAGCCCGGCGTTATTCGGGCGATACGACTGTCTTTTTCAAATTCCATAAATATCTGGAAAGAGCTCTATTGTTCAGTCAAGCGGAGATTTCTTTGTCACTTGCCTCATCAATGCAGAATACCTATGTCTTTGAAATTAGAGTAAATTAAAGAAATTTTATTAAACCGTATATTGGCCAACGAGATCGTCGATTGGTATGCTATCAAAGGCCTAATTCGACGTGTTCGGATACATGATGGAAGTGCGAATAAATGCCTATAACATCTTCGGTAAAGTACAGGTATCCTACAGTGGTAACCGAGTAAACAAGAAAGCAAATGATTTCAGTACCCTTTTCTGATTTTTTGAATGCCTCGGTTAATACATGAATGCATAAACGAACGTAGATGGGTGTCATGTGCAGTTTTTTGGAAATACGCGCTCTCGATAAACGGCCCATGGCCCTACTAGTTGTACTCTGACGGTTTAACCTATTTTTTCGGGAGAGGGCGGTCTATGTTGATGAACCGGTTACGCCTTAGGTTTCTTCTAGGAAATCCATTTTCAGGCGTCGCGAGCCGCGCACGGTATTGTGCGCAGGCCAAATGATACAGGAAGGTTTTGAGCGCATCGGCTTCCTTGATAGCATTACCATACTGAGATTTAGTTAAGAGAATACTTAGTAATTCGTTGCTAAGGGCTGGAATCGCTGCTTGAATGTGAGTTTTGCAGGGCAGCAGCGAAGAAGATTGTTAGAAGAAAAGAATCATGCGAACGTCAGTTTAGATCCTGACGTGATCGTAGTTTCTTTTATGACTACGAAAGAACTCACACTCAAGAGCTGTACAACACAAGAGAGGTGACACACTTTGATGATTAACCTCTACTTTTGAATATGGACATGTGATACTCTCTTTTTTGAGCGTACGATTGAAGAAACTCACTCCTGCACATGGTCGTAATTAGATCGTTATCCTGTTCCTTGGCTATTTCTTTTATCCAGTCGTCTTTAGTCACTTCCGCACCAGTGGCATTTGAAGCTGGCGGCCATCGGCGGACTTGGTTGCTCACTACGCCTAAATAATATAGTTTTGCATAGTAAACGCTATTAATTTATGAGACAAACGAATCTCAGCTTGGCTATGTGCATGAACACTACTTCGGACTTCAACATAAGGCACAATTCATGATAAAACGCGAGAGCAGGCATTTGAGAGAAATATAAGGCTCCAAAAAAGTATAGACAAAAAGTATAGTGGGTTGGACGAGAGCGTGACGACAAAATCATGGGAAGGGGTATTTGGACGTTTAGATGTGTCCAAACGGCTGGCTGCGTGCAACGTGTGCTTCCCAGTGCACATAGTGCAACATGGCTCGTCCGCCTTTGAGTGTGCATGTCGGCTGAGCCACTATCCAGGCTTTTATCACGCCCTATCTAGGCCGTTTTTGACCCGAAAACGTACCTTGTTTTATCCTCGTGGGTTATAGGTTCGTTCAAGGAGAAGTTTCAAAAACCATTTCTATGTTAAGCTGTGCCTTCAAGGGAAGTAAAAGTACAGGAAAACTCAGAATAACTTCTATACTAAGACGTTGCTTTCATGAATACCGATTTGCTAGCACGGCACGAATGGATTCGTAGCACTAGCCTTTCTTCGATTTGGTACGATGATACGAGGACTTGTTTCAACAACGATCTTATTTTTGAAAGGTTTGTTTTTCTGCGTGCATTGGAACCGTTTCAAAAAGCTCCTTTTTTACGCATTTCGAGACCACTTCATAATCGCACTATCCTACTATCCTTACTATATGTGAAGCGCCTGCGCCTGTCTGTCTGTCTGTCTGTCTGTCTGTCTGTCTATCTGTCTATCTGTCTATCTGTCTATCTGTCTATCTGTCTATCTGTCTGTCTGTCTGTCTGTCTGTCTGTCTGTCTATCTGTCTATCTGTCTATCTGTCTATCTGTCTGTCTGTCTGTCTGTCTGTCTGCCTGTCTGTCTGTCTGTCTGTCTGTCTAATTGTTTGTTTGTTTGTTTGTACGGCATTTCATAGCTCCTATCCCCGTGGACCCGCAACGTTTAAATTTAGTAGGAGCCCAATCGAGAGGATGGGAATACTATGGTGGTTGGCAGGACCGGGCTCAGCCCACAGTGGGCCAGTGGGCGAGGTTTGAGCGGGAAATCGTAGCTTCTGTTCCCGTGGACATAGAGCGTTCAAATTTTGTGGGAGTACAGGGGGACAGTATGGGAACACCGATGGTAGGTAGTAGGAAGACATGTGACGTAGGGATGTGACTGGGTGGAACTGCTAACAACTGATAAGAGCTGATAAGTGGCCCCAGAAAGCAAGACCCATGTACGAAACAGGACCCCGACGGAGAAATCAGTATGGTGTCAAGGCACGAAGTTTTGACTCTTCAGTTTGTTTCATTTTATAAGACGGGGTGGCTATGTAAGGTGACAAAAAGCTAGTGGTAAGTGCGGTAATAGGGAGAATTAAGCGTTCTTTACAAGCTGTTCACGAAGATCATTCTGACCGGCATATTGCAAACGTTGGATGAAGCTCAATTTGTAGAGCAGGCCGGATTCCGGAAGGGATACAGCTGCTTAGACCACATCCAAGCGGTCACAATGGTCATCGAAGTGCGCCGAGAATTCCGAATGCCTATTGTCCTTACATTTGTTGACTATGAAAAGGCTTTAGACAGCGTCGAAACAAATGCGGTTCTGTCAGCACTGGTCGATCAAGGAGCGAACCCTCAATACATAAGCACACTAGCTGACTGCCGTAGTTGCTGCAGCGCGACTGTGAAGCTGTTTCAACCACCTCTACCCATTCCCCTAGGGGAGGGTGTAAGACAAGCGACAATATTTCGCCGAAGCTGCTCACAGCAGCGCTGCAGTGGTTATGAAGTCGCTAGACTGGGAGGAAAAGGGCATTTGTGTGGATAGACGGTTCCTCTCTAATCTCCGCTTTGCGGACGACTTCGTTCTCTTTTCAGGCAGCATTACGGAAGCTGAGGCTATGCTTGCTGTGTTTAATAGAGCAGGAAAGATGGTAGGGCTGCGGATCAACCGAACAACGACACAGCATAAAGACACGATCTCGTTGGCCAATCCATAAAGAATGCTTGGGTCGACGAAGTTCAAATTAAGATCGATGGTACACCTCCGATATCTCGGGCGATCCATGAATATAAACAGCGACTTGAGGGAAGAATTGGTGAGACGGCAGAGGGCAGCGTGGGTTGCCTTCGAAGCTCTGAAAGAGGTTACTAACCGTCTGGCCGAGTCGGAACTTCGCGCTAATCTGTTCGATTCCACCGTTCTTCCTGCGCTCTGTTACGGATAGGAGACCTGGGTGACCAGTGCATCCACGTCAAAGGCTCTGAGCACAAGTCACAGAGCGCTCGGTCGATGTATTTTGAGGTTCAATCGGCTCACTCAATATCGAGCCAGACTCCATAGCTCCGATATGCGCAGAATGGCTCTGCTGTGCAATCCGACAGAGACCTCGGCTTTCACTACAACTACAAACAAAATACAAACTGTTTTTCACGGAGCACATTGAAACGAGGATCGGAGCAGCCAATCTTCGGACAATCCAAATTTTCAAAGAGCTGTCATCAGCTAATAAAGGAGCCCTGTTGCGTGCTCACAAGTTGTATGTGCGACCTCTGGTCGAATCCAGCACTATGGTTTTCAACAGCAAGGAAAGGAAACATTTCTTGAAAAGGTTCAGAATAACTTCAATTGTAAGCTGCTCATTCCAGTTGGTGGTTTTTTGTACTCCAGGATACCAAAGGCAGCTATCAGGAATCAGTAGATTGGAGTGACATCTTTAGAAACCCGACGCAGGGGTTTCGATCTCTGTATGGTACAAACTCGAACACGGCACGAGTGGTCGCGGTTCCAATGTCTTCAAGCTGACACATTCGAGGACTCGGGGTAGCTCTATGAAGATTTCTTTTACACGTCCTAAAACTAACTTGCGAGTTGCCAGTAGCCTTACCTGGCAGTGAATATATAAGAGTGGTGAAAAATATACCCGTCCCTTCATCGCCAGCTCAGTTCGAACGCCAAGTAGTTAAGTTGCTGCTGAAGGGAACTGGTCCTAACGTTTCCTGACACTGATTAATAACTAATTTATCTTTGTATTGCGTACCGGTTGCTTGTACAAATGTTCAAGATTGCATTGCGTTTTGTTTTCTTTCCCACGTTTGCCTTCCGCAGGCGTGATAAACTTATAGTTATACTCGCAAAAACGCATATAAAAACGCAACAATGACACTGAATGGAAGCAAAAACGAGAACACATCCCAAAAACGAGGTAAACGCTGAAGACTTTACGTTATCTTTTGCACAGAATTGTGACTTGTTTTTGCGCGACATGCTTGAGTTCTTAGTGCAAGTTCTTCTTCGGTTTGTGCCCTCAGATGGCTGTGCGAGTGTGGTGCCCCATCCGCTCAAAATATCGTAGGTGATGAGCTAATTTGTTCGTTCAGTCGCGATCTTCTGTTAATTCTCGAAATGCATAGGTGTTCGGCGGTGAAGAGGACAAATTTCAAACCTCAAGCCGCATCAAATTTTTTGAGGAAGTCGAAATCATCAAAGCAATAGCAGGCCCATAACGAGAGTTTCACCTTCACCTTCTTTCGTAGGGCATAACAATCAGATTAGCAACAATAGCTGGATTTATTAAAGAGAGAAAATGGAAACCTGCGTATGGGACATGAGTTGGACACAGCAATAGCTTTTTTCCAAATTTCTACTGTCTGAAGTGATTACTCGCTACCGAGAACGGCCTTTACAGCAATAAGAGAATAAACACATAATCTATCATATTCCGAGTAGTTGAGCAAAATAAAGCTTAAATATGAATAAGCTGAATAAGGTAAGAGCTTAAAAGAGGAGTCGTAACAATTTTACATCAGCAGCGTAGCGATAAACTAACCTTGTGTGACTTTGTCCCGGTCGTAGGCAAAGTTTACTCCGCGATCAAATGGTATCGGAGTCCTTCGAGCAGTGTGAGAGGTATAGGGAGACATACTGAAATGGGCAATTCATGCATTCATAATGGTCTCGGTCTAATTCACTGTTATTACAGCAATAGAAGTGTCTTCGTGCAAGCCAGTTGTATGTATAATATTTAATCTCACGCAATTCTTCAGAGCTTCCCTGTTCTCGGGGCTTAATTCCACTAATGAATGTTCATACGCTGTTACAAATCTTAGAGTCTATGAGTGCTGAGCAAACCATTGATGAAGTTCAGAGGTTAGGGATAAACAGCATCATTTTCTATCAACATTTCCGTTCGGATTCACGAGTGCTTAAAATGGATAGGTCTACCTTTACAGACATGGCATGTGAAGGTATTCCCATAACAATTAAATGAATCCGTAAACGAAGAAAAACGACATGCAAACGAAGTTAGGCCTGCACTGGTGAGGGCCAACCGACAGCTGGGGCGAACAGGCAGGGTTGAGTCTCTACTGAGGCTGAACCTTCTGCTTATCATTTACCACGCTTGCGGATAGTGCTCTAGGAGTACCACAGCGACAAGTAGAATATCAGGAAATTACGAAGGTTGAACGAATGTGGACGTAATTCGAGAAATATTATTCTGGCATACAAGTTTCTCAATAAGAAGCTGCTAGTTTAGTAATCAAGGTGAAGAACTCACGCGTAAAATCCGCTCTTGCGCTGCACGCTGTCCCTGCCGATTGGTCCAACGGTCCTTGCTCTCTTCCGACCGCCATCTTCTTCACTGAAAAAACAGCTGCTCAGATTGACGTGAGATACATCACAGCTCCAGTTAGTGCTCCCACATAACTGGGATTCTGTTTCACTTCCAGCCGACAGAGACTTTAGCATTGGATTTTTCGACTTACATGCATATATTTTTCACGCGAAATTATGGTCCATCAGTTAAGATGTAGATGGAAAGAGGGAGCTATCAAAACGAACCACCAAAAATTCAAGATCATCGAGTTAAACAGTTTGCAATAATTTGCTGCGCTAATCTTTCTTATCGCCCCTCGTCATCACTACACGACTTATGGCCATCTGTACATTTCTCGTAACTCTGGAGGTTGGTCAGCTCTGAAACTTGCTGGCGATTCGTAAACAGTAATGTTTTTTAGGCCTCCTTCTCTGCAATAGTTCATACTGTCTGTTTCATAGAACATTGAATTTGGGTACCACTTGGTGATGCTCTTTACATTTGGGATTATCTGAGACAATCGTTGTGTCCACGTGAAGAAATATTTGGCTAGTGAACGAAGAAAAAGCTTTAGCACCGTTTGCTAAGCCCAAAAGGGAAACTGTGCTGGTTGAAGCTTTGAAGTGGAGTGCGTAATTCTCATTTATGAGAACAGTATTACGGCTGAAAAGCTTTTGGGTCTCTCAAGTCACTAGTTTTTCTTCCGCACGTCGATCAATGTTTTCTTCATCTACGACGTGAAATCTTAGCTCGAAACAACCTGAAATTTTACTGCGTTCAATCTTCTCGAGCCCTTGTCGGGCTCTACTCACACTTTGCTTGCGCCGCCAAATGTTGGCGGTTGCAAGTGATACCCGTGATGGACGTTTCCTGAATGGCATTCACAGCGAAGCGTTAATTAACTCAGCAAGTGGGATGGGGATGAAGCTTAGTAGGTTGTCTGCTCCAGCAGCTTGATCACCGATTCGAGGAAGCGCGGACTTGACCACATCCGGATAGCTTCCTTTGTGTATATTGGCGCTGCTAGTGAATCGCTTCCTTGTGATTGGATGAATAAAATAACTCAATGGACAGTATACTTACTTTCCACCATTATGTGATGGTGTATTGAGATTGCTTGAAAATATCACTTATTCGACTGAAGGCCCCAGTTAGAATGAAAATTACGGCGATCATCAACGCCAATCAAGCGCTTTTGAAGCTCTTCAAAGCCAGCAATAGCCCTTCTCGTTAATTGAAAGCAATTGGCGCTCAGAAGTAATGGTCTCTCAGAATGGGGTGGGAAAATAAAAATCGTGCAGCTTCAGAAAGTCAAGGCAAACCGCATAATATACACAAACATTCCGAGTTAGCCTATATATTATAGATAGGGTCAACAGCGAAGCAACAGCATTCCTCAGTGTCTCAAAGCACCTGTCGTCTTAGCTACTCGGTAATATAGTGTGGCTACAAACGCTAACCACTGCGCCATCAATCCATGGAGAAGATATGAAGTCACTTGGGCCTGTGCTTTCCTCACATATGGGATGCAGCTGTTTCTGAAGTTAGTATCACAACTGATTATTTTCATTCAAGAACGCGAGAATATGTTTACGTGGTTCCAAGAAGTAATGTGGGGATTTGCGAAAGATGTTGAAAACATATGACCTTACAGAATGAGCGACAGTGGATCTCCCACAAATGACTTTGATTCCCTTCGACGAACGGCAGGAGTCAAATCAATAGACTTCTTGTTTAGCCTTCCGATAAGAAACTTTACTGTCTTTAATCAATCCCGTGTGAGGAGGTATGCACGCCCGCATTCGTTTTCTAATCGAAATCGTAAGGGCGCTTCGAAGGCTTATGTGGCCTATACGATGACTTGTAGTGGCCAGCCGGTGAACAACTCAGTGCTTTTATCCTCCTAAATGGATTTGGTACCAATTAATTAACACCGGGAGGTGGAAGACTTGATTGGCCCTGGCGAATATTGATCCGGTGCTTGAACCCCTGTCCATATGCGTGTGGAAATGCGCCACTTGCCACTATACCCCCTCCGCCTTAGATTCCCAAGTTCCACGAAGTTCCCAAATACGACCATATTTGTCCTCTTTCGTGTTTGTTATAGAAAGTTGTAAGAGACTTTACCAAAGATGGCCGTGTTTGAAAACACACTTCACGATAAAAATTGACTATGAGATGCCTAGCTTGGATAAATCTGTGGCTCCCTCGTACACCATGTATGGCACTGTCAGGTCGGAAAACGGCCTAAATAGGGAGTTGAAAGAGATTGTCCCGTGTGTAGTAGCGAACGAATCTCAACGCTATTGTGAACGCTACACCATTCACGAAGGAGCCCATGTAGGAAGTTCACACAACTTGGCGACAGAGGAGGGCAATTCTGAATAAGTCTGGCTTGATGTGGTCTGCTCTTTACGCGATTGCAACGAGTGTCCTCGTCCAAATATCCCTTCCATGACATTTCCTTCATGGTATCTCGTACAACCTCTACTCTCACAACATTCGAGGCGCCTTATTTTACGCAAAATCGGCGAATTTTCTCGATTCTTCTACACCGATGCACTGTTCCCCGCCACTCTTCACTTTTCGACTCAAAAAGGGTACCTCAGACTATCGTGAACAGTGCTTTTATGAATGGAACCGCCAAAACATCTCGTCAACATTTTGAGCGAGAAACATAAACTTACTACCTTCAAGGCAGCGAATAATTATGGGAAGGTAAGCGTCTATGATCGACTCTCGATAAAACTTGGCATAGCTTTGTATTAATTTTATAAGATTTTAATAAAACCTGCTGCCAAGATTGTAAATAAATTCTTCTCAACTTACGTTTCAGCGTTATCGCCTTCTTCAGAGTTTGAAACCTGGAGATAATCGCTATCCAACCCTCATTTAACAATTTAATTTCAAAAAACGGTTCCCTAGTCCTAATGTCCAATGGTCCAAGGATCGAGTTCCGATTCGATATCTGCCAAACCACCCAAGCCTTCTAGCCCTTTGGAACTGATTTACTGGAATTAGATTTTCTTGGGGGATGAAAGCATTGACTCGCTAAACGGCTAGCCACAAATTTTTGTATTGGCCAGATATGATTTTACTACGTCAGTACGATTCTGAATGTATGTCTGGTGCGGGACGCATCCCAAAGACGGGACTGATAGACGCCACAGACTTCATCCTTCATCTCTAACTTTCTCACAAAAGCCGCAAGTGAACCTCAGATGCACATTTCACGACAATTTTAGGTCAACAAAATTATGACGAAAAGTGGAAGTCAAGGTGGGAAATAGGGTAAGCGAAGGAATTGCGGAATTTTTCCATGTGACAAAAGGTCCCGAAAAAATCGTTAAAAAAGGAGCTGGATGAGAATGAGAACAGAAAAATGAAGAAGGGATGTTTAGACGAGATATACAGTGTGTATCATCGCATACATGTGGGTCCTGGGTCAATAGCTGACTACAATAAGCAAAAATGCCTTCTGAAATTCGTTCACTCATAAGCATAAGTCAACAAAAACACTAGTAACAGCAACGATAGCCCACCTTTTTCAGCCTCTTGAGGTAGAAATTTAGATAAACGATCGCAGCAACAAAAAGAATGACGAGGAATAATAGAATGGGAGAATTACATCGCCCATCACCACGCGATCATCTGCTTGCGCGGTGAATGTGTGGGTCCTGGCACGGACATTGCAACCTGTATCGCCTCGACACTCATCGGCTGAAAGGTGTGGCATCAGGGCGATCCGGTAATGGGGCTACCACTATGCCCTAGGTGTTGAGTTTTTGGACCCGACAGCGTTTTTCCTCTTACCCTTGGGGGCCACTGGGTATTACTAGGAGGAAAACTCAAAAACCTTTTTTTATCGTTAACTGTGCCTTTAAGGACATCGCCGGAACAAGCATTCATTTTGTCCCCCAGTCAATACTCCAAAACAATGATAATATTTGTCAGAATACCTGATAATACATTCTTTAGAACTTCCATCAAGGGAGTCACTTCATAATCAGAGTAAAGAAGGGCCTATAGGTGTGGGCTAGCATGATACTCAGAAAACAGATTTACTTTTTACATGGGCTTCTTAGTTGAGACCTTGACACGCATGATGCATCGAATGTCTTCATCTTCCGTAACTTTACTCGTGAAGGATCTCATTGATATAAAATGTGCATCTTTTGAATAAGAATCACGCGAGCTTCTTATTATTTTTGTTTCAGTATCTTGAAGTGGCATCAGTGGGAGTGTTTTACTTTACGTGCCTTACGGTCTTCAAGAATGCTGGGAAAACTTTGGAGGGTCGACTGTTCCTTGGATAGTCTCTACTAA